CCATATGGAGCTCCACCGAAGGTCCCAGTGGCGCAGCCCGCATGCGTCTCCCTCACACACTATAACGTTTCGTGGCCCATAAGGGGGCTCCACCACAGGTCACAGTGGCGCAGCCCGCATGCGTCTCCCCCACCCAGTACAACGTTTCATGGCCCCATGAGGTGGCTCCACCGAAGGTCCGAGTGGCGCAGCCCGCATGCGTCTCCTCAACCCAGTACAGCGTTTCGTGGCTCCATATGTAGCTCCACCGAGGGTCTCAGTGGCGCAGCCCGCATGCGTCTCCCACACCCTGTACAGCGTTTCGTGGCCCCATAGGTAGCTCCACCAAAGGTCCCAGTGGCGCAGCCGGCATGCGTCCCCCCCACCCAGTACAGCGTTTCGGGGCCCCATGGGTAGCTCCACCGAAGGTCCCAGTGGCGCAGCCCGCATGCGTCTTCCCCCACCCAGTGCGGCGTTTCGTGGCCCCATAGGGAGCTCCACGGAAGGCTCCAGTGTTTCATCCCGCATGCGTCCCCCCACCCAGTGCAGCGTTTCGTGGCCCCATAGGGAGCTCCACCAAAAGGTCCCAGTGGCGCAGCCCGCATGCGTCTCCCCCACCCAGCACCACGTTTCGTGGCCCCGTAGGTAGCTCCACAAAAAAAAGGTTCCAGTGGCACAGCCCGCATGCGCGCCTCCCACGCCTAGTACAGCGCTTCGTGGCCACATGAAGAGCTCCGCCGAAGGTTCCAGTGGCGCAGCCCGCATGCGTCTTCCACACCCAATACAGCGTTGCGTGGCCCCATGGGGAGCTACCTCAGTGGCGCAGTCAGCATGCGTCTCCCGCACCAAGTAAAGCGTCTCGTGGCCACACAAGGAGCTCCACCGAAGGTCACAGTGGCGCAGCCCGCATGCGGCTCCCACGCCGAAGGCAGCGTTTCGTGGCCCCATAGGGAGCTCCACCACAGGTCCCAGTGGTGCAGCCCGCAAGCCTCTCTCCTCACCCAATGCGGCGTTTCGTTGCCCCATGAGGGGGCTCCACCGAAGGTCACAGTGGCTCGCATGCGTCTCCCGCAGCCAATACAGCGTTTCGTGGCCCCAGAGGGAGCTCCAGAAGGTTCGAATGGTGCAGCCCGCATGCGCCTCCCCCACCCAGTACAACGTTTCGTGGCCCCATAAGGGGGCTCCACCTAAGCTCACAATGGCGCAGCCCGCATGCGTCTGTCCCTCCCTGTACAACGTTTCGTGTCCCCATAAGTAGTTCCACCGATGGTCCCAGTGGCGCAGCCCGCATGCGTCCCCCCCACCCAGTACATCGTTTCGTGGCCCCATAGGTGGCTCCACCGAAAGTTCCAGTGGCGCAGCCCGCATGCGTCTCCCCCACCCAGTACAGCGTTTCGTGGCCCCACATGGAGCTCCACCGGATGTTCCAATGGCGCAGCCCGCATGCATCTCCCCCACCCAGCACTGCGTTTAGTGGCCCCATAGGGAGCTCCACCACAGGTCCCAGTGGCGCAGCCCGCATGCGTCTCCCTCACACACTATAACGTTTCGTGGCCCATAAGGGGGCTGGACCACAGGTCACAGTGGCGCAGCCCGCATGCGTCTCCCCCACCCAGTACAACGTTTCATGGCCCCATGAGGGGGCTCCACCGAAGGTCCCAGTGGCGCAGCCCGCATCCGCCTCCCCCACCCAGTACAACGTTTCGTGGCCCCATAGGGAGCTCCACCAAAGGTCCCAGTGGCGCAGCCTGCATGCGTCCCCCTCGCCCAGTACAGCGTTTCGTTGCCCCGTAGGGAGCTTCACCGACGGTCCCAAAGGCGCAGCCCGCACGCGTCTCCCCTATCCAGTACAACGTTTCGTGGCCACATGAAGAGCTCCGCCGAAGGTTCCAGTGGCGCAGCCCGCATGCGTCCCCCCTACCAAGTACAACGTTTCGTGGGCCATCAAGAGCTCCACCGAAGGTCCCAGTGGCGCGACCCGCATACGCCTCCCCCACCCAGTACGGCGTTTCGTGGCCCCATAGGGAGCTCCACATAAGGTCCCAGTGGCGCAGCCTGCATGCGTCTCCCCCACACAGTACAACGTTTCGTGGCCCCGTAGGGACCTCCACCGGCGGTCCCAAAGGCGCAGCCCGCATGCGTCTTCCCCCACCCAGTACAACGCGTCGTGGCCCCACAAGGAGCTCCACCGAAGGTCCCAGTGGCGCAGCCCGCATGCGTCTCCCCCACCCAGTACAACGTTTCGTGGCCCCATAGGGAGCTCCACCAAAGGTCCCAGTGGCGCAGCCCGCATGCGTCTCCCCTACCCAGTACAACGTTTCGTGGCCACGTAGGGACCTCCACCGACGGCCCCAGGGGCGTAGCCCGCATGCGCCTCCCCCACCGAGTGCAGCTTTCGTGGCCCCATGAGGGGGCTCCATCGAAGGTCCCAATGTCGCAGCCCGCATGCGTCTCCCCCACCGAGTACAACGTTCCGTGGCCCCATAGGGAGCTCCAGCGAGGGTAACAATGGCGCAGTCCGCATGCGTCTGCCCCGCCCGGTGCAACGTTTCGTGGGCCTATGCGGGGGCTCCACCGGAGACGATACCGACAAACTGCGGTATTCACAACTGCATATGGTTGGGTCGTTCACAAAGCTAATTTTAGTCGCTACCCTCCAGAATGGCTCCGATAAGGCCTGAACGGCCTCTGACAAGTTCCCAGGATAACATCAATATTGATCCAAGCGGCCTCCAAGAGGCTCCCTGAAGTCCAACCTTAGCCCTGTGGGAGGCGGCCTGGGCTGACACCAACTTCGGTTTGACGGGTATCTCCTCTCATTTTTCGCTATGTGTATGCTCCACTTCCCTGATCAACGCAACTCGCCTATAATTCGGTTATGTATTACCTGCAGGAGATGTGCGAAGCGTCCAGGTCTAGTGATACCCCCCTTTTGAAGCTTTCAGCTTAGATAGGACGCCACAATTTCCAACAACGAAACAACTAACGACGATTCCACTCGCGGAGGCCGACTTAGGGACCACGTTTTCCCAAAGATGGGTGACAACTCTGGTGACAATTGCAACGACGATTTTACGACGATCGCCGACGTGCGCGAAGACGAAACTGAATACCACAGAAACCATGCCATCCGAATAATGGGTGATTGATACCGGCCCAGATGTATTGGTGGACCAATGCTGCCGGGCAGCGAGGCTCAGAGGCAGAAGAGGGCGACAATGACGAGGGAGACAGTGATAGTCGATGGTAAGAGCGATTTACCCTTGGCAGGCAACCTGACAAGCCAAGTTTCCCATGGCCTTTCTTATTGCCTGGCTTGGTGCCCCTTGGAGCAGTTATCCCCCTCTCTGCTCATACTTTCTGCTTGCTCAATCGGTTGCCAAACTGTTGGGTTACCTTGTCATCGAAATATGATTACCGCGTGCTTGTGATCTTGCAAACTCGTCTGTTCATGACCTCGCACGAGTTGCCTCTTCGTGCCTGGACACTTCGCCGATCGGCGTATCGGTAGGCGTATTTCCCAACCATCTTGTGGTGTTGGGTCCTCGTTTTGAAGAGACGGTCCCCGAGTTCCTTCCCTCCCTCCTTCCCTCTCTCCTCCCTTCCTTCCTTCCTTCCTCCTCCCCCTCCTCCCTCCTCCCATCCTTGTGCATGTCCTCGTCGTCGTCGTCATTATTATCATCAAAGTCATCATAGGGAGGTCCACCCAAGGCCCCAGTGGCGATGTCCACATGCGTCTCCCCTACCCAGCACGGCGTTTCGTGGCCCCATAGGGAGGTCCACCCAAGACCCCAGTGCGCGGTGTCAGCATACGTCTCCCCCACCCAGCACGGCGTTTCGTGGCCCCAAAGGGAGCTCCACCCAAGGCCCCAGTGGCGGTGTCCACATACGTCTCCCCCACCCAGCACGGCGTTTCGTGGCCCCATAGGGAGATCCACCCGAGGCCCCAGTGGCGGTGTCCACATGCGTCTTCCCCACCCAGCACGGCGTTTCGTGGCCCCGAAGGGAGCTCCACCCAAGGCCCCAGTGGCGGTGTCCACATGCGTCTCCCCTACCCAGCACGGCGTTTCGTGGCCCCATCGGGAGGTTCACCCAAGGCCCCAGTGGCGGTGCCCACATGCGTCTCCCCCACCCAGCGCGGCGTTTCGTGGCCCCATAGGGAGCTCCACCCAAGGCCCCAGTGCCGGTGTCCACATGCGTCTCACCCAGCACGGCGTTTTGTGGCCCCAGTGTCCACATGCGTCTCCCCCACCCAGCACGGCGTCTCGTGGCCCCATCGGGAGCTCCACCGAAGAGCCCAGTCGCTGCACTCGCATGCGTATCCCCCGCCCAATACAACGCTTCGTGGCCCCATAGGGAGCTCCACAGAGCTCCCCAATGGATTCGTTCACAGGCGTCTCCCCTGCCCAGCACGGCGCTTCGTGGTTCCATAGGGAGGAGCTCCACTGGAGGCCTCAATGGCGCTGTCCACATGCGTCTCCCCCACCCAGTGCAGCGTTTCGTGGCACCGTAGGGACCTCCACCGACGGCCCCGGCAGCAAAGTCCACATGCATTTCGCCCCAGTACAACGCTTCGTGGCCCCATAGGGTGCTCCACCGAAAGCCACAGTGGAACCGTCCACATGCGTTTCCTCCACCCAATACAACCTTTCGTAGCCCCATTTCGAGTACCACCGAAGGCCTCAGTGAACCCGTTCACATGCGTCTCCCCAAATCAGTACAGCGCTTCCCCCTATAGGGAGCTCCACCTAAGGCCCCAGTGGCGGTGTCCACAGGCGTCTCCCCCGTCCAATGCAGCGTTTCGTGGTCCATAGGGAGCTCCACCGAAGATGCTACCCACAGCTGCGGTACTCACAACTGCATATGGTTGGGTCCTTCGCCAGGCAAATTAGTGGGTGGCTCGTTCAGCACGCTTGCCCTAATTTCCGGACTGCAGTGCAATATGCTGTGAAGTCATGACCGCACAAAGGGCGAGGTCGTTGACGACTACGGCGAGGAAAATCATCAGAGAGTGGAGTGACCGAGGTGAACAACACGTTCTCCAACTTCAGATCCCTGTGTATGCACTGGTGCCGGTGCATGCACTCCGTGCCCCGCACCACCTGCTCGAAGTGCTTGGCCGCCTCGCGGCCACCGCTGGGAATGGCGAGACGGAGAGGAGCAGGCTCCTCTCCGCTCCATAAATTCTTCAATGCCCAGCCTCGTGCCGCAGCTCAATATCGGTCACAATACCACAGTAATGGATAAGTTTTTGGACAGCGTCGGCCAACAGAAATTGTGACCATATGGCAACATGTGCCATGAAATGACGTCGCGGCGCAGGCGAGAGGCAAGTGCTGCCCCCGTCCCTTCTTGCTTCTCGCGTCCGGCTCCAAGCGCGTCGCTTCGGCTTCGCTTCGCGTCGCACACTGGCGCTGTGATTTCGATCCCGAAATTCGATACGAGGAGAGATGGAAACACCAGGACGAGCTGGGTAAAGATGCATGCATGGAACATGTTGGACTGCAAGTGGGTCAACTAGGTAAGTAGCTAGGCTGACAGACCGACAGAAACAAGGGACATCATATAGCGATATACATACGTGACATATCAGAGCATACCCCTCACCCACATGATCATACATGTTCTGATTTCCATCCTCCTGCCAGTGGCCTCCTTCCTCTTACTCATCTTCTCCTTTCCCCCTCCTGCTACTCCGAACACAACTCGTCCTTAATATTTCTCATCCATTCTTTGGCGTTGGGTCCTCGTTTTGAAGACACAGCGCACCGCGTTCCTTCCTCCTCCTCCTGCTCCTCCTCCTCCTCCTCCCCTCCTCCCCCCCTCCTCCCTCCTCCGCAGTTCGCGTGCCTCTCTCCCACCAATGCAACGTTTCGTGGCCCCATAGGGAGCTCCACCGAAGGTCACAATGGAGCAGCCCGCATGCGTCTCCCACGCCCAGTACAGCGTTTCGTGGCCACATAGGGAGCTCCATCTAAGGTCCCAATGGCACAGCCCGCATGCGTCTCCCCCACCCAGTACAGCGCTTCGTGGCCCCATAAGGAACTCAACCGAAGGTCCCAGGGGCGCAGCCCGCATGCGTCTCCCACATCCAATACAGCGTTTCGTGGCCCCATAGGAAACTCCACCGAGGGCCCCAATGGCGCAGCCCGCATGCGTCTCCCCCACCCCGTACAACGTTGCGTGTTCCCATGGGTAGCTCCACCGAAGGTTCCAGTGGCGCAGACCGCATGCGTCTCCAACAACCATACAGCGTTTCGTGGCCCCATCATAATAGGCAGCGCCACATAAGGTCCCAGCTCCACCGAAGGTCCCAGTGGCGCAGCCCGCGTGCGTCTCCCCCATCCAGTACAGCGTTTCGTGGTTCATATGGAGCTCCACTTAAGGTCCAATGGCGCAGCCCGCATGCGTCTCCCCCACCCAGTACAGCTTTTCGTGGCCCCGTTGGGAACTCCGCCGAAGGTCCCAGTGGCGCAGCCCGCATGCGCCCCCCCCCGACACACACAATTACCCCCCCCCCCCACCCCATAAAACGTTTCGTGGCCACAGAGGGAGCTCCACCGAAGGTCCCAGTGGCGCAGTACAACGTTTAGTGGCCACATACCCGGCTCCACCGAAGGTCCCAATGTCGCAAACCACATGCGTCTCCCACACCCAATACAACGTTTCGTGGCTCCGTGGGGATCTCCACCGAGGGTCCCAGTGGCGCAGCCCGCATGCGTCTCCCACATCCAATACAGCGTTTCGTGGCCCCATCGGGAGCTCCACCGAGGGTCCCAGTGGCGCAGCCCGCATGCGTCTCCCCCACCCAGTACAGCGTTTCGTGGCCCCATAGGGAACTCCACCGAGGTCCCAGTGGCGCAGCCTGCATGCGCCTCCCCTTCCCAGTACAGGGTTTCGAGACCCCATGGGGAGCTCCACTTAAGGTCTCAGTGGTGCAAGCCGCATGCGTCCCCCACACCCAGTACAACGTTTCGTGGCCCCATATGGAGCTCCACCGAAAGTCGCAATTACGAAACCCGCATGCGTCTCCCATACCCAGTACATCGTTTCGTGTACGGTCCCAGAGGCGCAGCCCGCATGCGTCTCTCTCCACCCAGCACAATGTTTCGTGGCCCCACAAGGAGCTCGACCGAAGGTACCTCTGGCGCAGCCCGCACGTGTCTCCCACACCCAGCGCAGCCCGCACGTGTCTCCCACACGTGTCCCGTGGCCCATGGGGAGCTCCACCAAAGGTCCCAGTGGCGCAGCCCGCATATGTGTGTCTCCCACACCCAGTACAGCGTTTCGTGGCCCCGTGGGGAGCTCCACCGAAGGTCCCAGGGGCGCAGCCCGCATGCGTCTCCCTCACCGAGTACAGCTTTCGTGGCCCCACAGGGAACTCCACCGAAGGTCCCAGTGTCGCAGCCCGCATGCGTCTCCCCCACCGAGTACAACATTCCGTGGCCCCATAGGGAGCTCCACCGAGGGTCTCAGTGGCGCAGCCCGCATGCGTCGGCCCCGCCCGGTTCAACGTTTCGTGGCCCTATGCGGGGTCTCCGCCGGAGAGGATCTTACAACCGCGGTGTTCACAATTGCGTATGGTTGGGTCTTTTGCCAGGCTAATTTCCTTTCCCCTCCTGCTTCTCCAAACACAACTCGTCCTTCTGATTCAATTTTCCCTTTGTTCTTCCTCCTTGTCCTCCTTCTCCTTGCCTCCTCCTCCTTTCCTTTCCTTTTCCGTGTTGCAGAACCAAATAAACAGCAATGATACATAATGCTTTGCGCCCTCGGTGTCACGAACTGTCTTTTTCCAACCAACCTGCTGTTGGGTCCTCGTTTCGAAGAGACAACGCCCCGCGTTCCTTCTCCTCCTTCTCCTCTTCCTCCCCTCTCCCCTCCTCTCTTCTCCTCTCCTCTCCTCTCCTCTTCTCTCCTCTCCTGTCCTCCCTCTCCCTCCCTCACTTTGGCACACCCCTCACACGTTTCGTGGCCCCATAGGGAGCTCCACCGAAGGGCCCACTGGCGCAGCCCGCATGCGTCTCCCCCACCCAGCACAGCTTTTCGTGGCCCCATAGGGAGCTCCGCCGAAAGGTCCCATTGGCGCTGTCTGCATGCGTCCCCCTCAACCAACACAGCGCTTCGTGGCCCCATGGGGAGCTCCACCGAGGGTCCCAGTGGCGCAGCCCGCAGTGCGTCTCCCCCACCCAGTACAGCGTTTCGCGGCCCCATCGGGAGCTCCACGTAAGGTCCCAGGGGCGCAGCCCGCATGCGTCTCCCCCACCCAGTACAACGTTTCGCGGCCCCACAGGAAGCTCCACCGAGGGCCCCAGTGGCGCAGCCCGCATGCGCCTCCCCCGCCTAGGGAGCTCCACCGAAGGTTCCAGTGGCGCAGCCTGCATGCGTCTCCCCCGCCAAGCACAACGTTTCGTGGCCCCACAGAGAGCTCCACCGAAAATCCCAGTGGCGCAGGCCGCATGCGTCTGCTCCAGACGGCTCCAAGATGGCCTCCACGATGGTCAAGATGGCCTGCGAGGACAAGCCTCGTTTGTGCGCACGTGCGCTGTCCTCAGAAGTCCTCCTCTCTTCACTCATCCCGTTCGTCCAAGTCAGCAAGTGTTTTCCAATCTTTATTTTTTTGAATGGTGCGAAAATCAAAGAACTTTTTTCGAGAACAATCAATGCGCCAACAATCATCTTATTTAAACTCTGGATGGTCCAAGATGGCCTCGCCTCGAAGACCGCCCAAGAGAGTCCAACATGCCTCCAAGTTCGCACAAGAAACACCTAAGACGGCCCAAGACGGCGGAATAGGCATCCAAGAGGCCTCCAATATGGCCCAAGAGGCCTCGAAGAGTTCCTCCAGGACGTCCAGAAGAGGTCACACTAATTGTTTTTCTCCAGGTTTTTGAAGGATTTGGGCTTTTGCTCCTTTTCGGCCTTCCAACGGCCCAAGACGGCCCAAGGGCTCATCAAGATCGCCCCAAGAGTGCCCAAAAAGCATCCGAAAGGGCCCCAGGACAATCCAAGAGGCCCCCAAGATGGCCCAAGGAGGGCCCAAAGACGGCCCAAGAGGCCTCCAAGACGCCCAAGATGGCCTCCAAGACGTTCTCCAGGAAACCCGAAAGCTCGGAAACCATCTGGTCCGATAGCTCGCTCGACTCCGTGTTTCCCGAAAGCTTTCGAAACCCACTCGGGGAGCGCGTGGCCCGATAGCTGGGCCAAGCTCAAACCCAACTTTCGGCCACGCAGGCGCTTCCAAAAAGGCAGGGGGCAGCGGTGATTCGCCGTAAGCGTCTTCGATCCGCCGCCCCCTGTTGATTCATCACAGGGGTGCCCGGCGTGCTGAATCCTTTCGCTTTTGGTCTTGGTTCTTTTTCCGAAAGAACTCCCCCTGGGGTTTCGGCCCGTCCCGCCGGAGATGCGTAACAAGTGGTTGCAAAAGGTTTTTCGGCTCCAGACGGCTCCAAAATGGCCTCCAAGATGGCCTGCGAGGACAAGCCTCGTTTGGGGTTTCGGCCCCGCCCGCCGGGGTCCCGGAATGGTCCAAGGGTGGTTCCAAAAGTTTTTCCTGCTCCAGATGGCTCCAACATGGCTTCCAAGATGGCCTCCAGGTTCGCCCAAGATGGTCCAATATGGCCTCCAAGACGGCCCAAGCGAGTCCAGGATGCCTCCAATTTCGCACAAAAAACTTCTCCGACGGCCCAAGACGGCCCCAGAGGCTCCAAGAGGCCTCCAAGACGGCCAAAGAGGCCTCCAAGAGGTCCTCCACGAGAGCCCGAAGAGGTTAACATCAATATTTTCCTTAGGTTTTTGAAGGATTTTGGCTTTTGTTCGTTTCGAACCTTCCGACGGCTCACGACGGCCCAAGGAGCCCGAAAGATCGCCCCCAGAGCGCCCAAAAGGCCTCCAAGATGGCCCTATGACGGCCCAAGAGGCCCTCAAGACGGCCCCAAGAGGGCGCCAAGACGGCTCCAGAGGCCTCCAAGACGCCCAAGACGGTCTCCAAGACGGCCAATGTGGCCTCAAAGATGCTCCCAACACGGTCAAGATGAGCTTCAAGACGGCCAAGATGGCCGCTCAGACGGCCAAGATGGGTCTCCAAGATACCTTGAGACTGCCAAGCTGACGACCAAGATGGCATCCAAGACGGCAGAAGTATCCCCAAGAGAGCCGAAGGTGGCCCAAGAGGCTTCCAAGAGGCCTCCAAGACAGCCCAAGATGCCTCCAAGTCAAGACGTCCTCCAGGAAGGCCCGAAGAAGCCAAAATCAATGAATTTCCATAGGTGTTTGACAGATTTTCGCATGGGCCGCTAAGACGGCGAAGATGGCCCCAAGACGCACCTAAGACGGCCCCAGATGGCCTGTAGATGGCCGTAGATTGCCCAAACGGCCCGCCAGAGGCCTCCAAGACGGCCCAAGACCCCTCCAAGACGTCCTCCAAGAGGCCCGAAAGCTCGGAAACCACCTGGTCCGATAGCTCGCCAGACTCCGTGTTCCCCGAAGGCTTTCGAAACTCATTCGGGGAACCTGTGGCCCGATAGCTTGGCCAAGCTCAAACCCAACTTTCGGCCACGCAGGCGCTTCCAAAAAGGCAGGGGGCGGCGGTGATTCGCCGTAGGCGTCTTCGATAACGCCAACGTCTCAATATGCGCTGATGACTCCTATCCGCCCCCGCATGATGTTCCCAGATGCGCCAAGGCAGCGCCGAGACGCACCGACGCGACTCAGATATATCCCAGTATGATAGAGAAGGGGCCGGCGGCAGGGGGCAAAGCCCTTACGGTTTATATAGATAGACATACTAGAAACACCTCGCGCGCTTCACGCGCGCTCAAATTCTAGCTAGGCTTGATGGGCTAACTCATGTAATCTCATTTTTGTCGCTTCTTGCATCCAGGGACTCTCTTGGAGGCCCTGTGCAAGCCTCGGAGCCGTATAGGAAAGGAGCTGCGGAAACGCGGAAATCATTAATTTCCGTTAGGTGTTCGACGATTTGGGGCCCTCAAAAGCTTCCTGGTTTCTTTTCTGGGATCTCAGAGGGGGCCTTAATTGTGGTCAGTTGTGTAAGAGTAACCAACCTGTAGGTTCGGTTCGGTTCGATCTGCGTGCCGGCTCTGGTTGCCGGAGCGGCTTCCTCAGATGCTTTTGACGCCATTTTTCGGAATGCAAACAACACGTCCACTAAAGAGGACGGAACTACCCTCTTTTCAGTGAGAACGAAAGGAGAACACGGAGAAACGTGATACGGCGAAGGAGGGTGATGAGCACATTCGGTGTGGTTCCGACAGTCACAGAAGTGACAGATGGGGGGGGGGACGGAAGATGTGGAGGCGGAACAAGAAGAGGGCACGAGGGCAAGAGAGGAGTGCCACCTCGGGTTCCGGAAGCCTGCGGCCAGGGGCATCGTCCAGGTGGTCGCGCAGGGTGCCGCCGCCACAGAACTCCAGCAGCATGAAGAGGTAGTCCTCGAGAGAGAGAAATACAGTGGAGGCCACTCCATAAGAAACCTTACGCAAGAAACCCAACGCTGAGACCCGAAGACGTTCATCGATTCTTGGCGTGGGAACGCCGCGCTATCCGTAGCAAAACCATCGAACCCCAAGAAGCCTAGGGCACCCTGAAGGCAAGCAGGGTGTTTCTTGGCATGGGCCCGCACTGTGAAAAGGGGGAGGAGGAGGAGGAGGAGGAAGAGGAGGAAAAGGAGGAGGAGGCGGAGGAGGAGGAGGAGGAGGAGGAGGGGGGAGGAGGAGGAGGGGGAGGAGGAGGAGGGAGGAAAGAGGAGGAGGAGGAGGAGGAGGAGGAGGAGGAGGAGGAGGAGGAGGAGGAGGAGGAGGAGGAGGAGGAGGAGGAGGAGGACAAGCTAGGTGCGCGCGCGCGTCATATCTGACATCCTACCCCTCCCTCCCATCCCTTACCATGGCGCAGATCCCCTCTCTACTCGCTCAGTCGGATGTCGAGCAGGGCAATGATCCCGAAAGGGTACGCGATGCATTGTAGAGCACGGCGTGGCATGGCGTAGAAGAGCACCGCGAAACGTAGTATCAACCTGGCATTGCATTGCACGCCGTGGCATGGCACGGGAAATGACGCCAGCGCTGCAGCGGGAGCACGAGTCGAAACGAGCGGAAGCGCGGAAATGAGGCCACCGCTGCAGCGGGAGCACGATTCGGAACGAGCGGAAGCGCGGAAATGAGGCCAGTGCTGCAGCGGGAGCACGATTCGGAACGAGCGGGGCCCGAAAATGAGGCCAGCGCCTCAGCGAGAGCAGCATTTTGACACACATGCAAGCGAAAACCCAACTCCCGGGAAACCGGGAAACCTGTGTGTAAAAAACAAGACGCGGGGTGTTGGGGGGGGGGGGGGCGACGCTCCCAGCACGTCATCAGGGGAAGAGGGAGTGTAGTATTCATATTGAGTAATTGTGGAGGAGGAGGAGGAGGAGGGAGGAGGAGGAGGAGGAGGAGGAGAGGAGGAGGAGGAGGAGGGGAGGAGGAGGAGGGAGGAGGAGGGGAGGAGGGAGGGAGGGAGGGAGGAGGGAGGAGGGAGGAGGGAGGAGGGAGGAGGGAGGGGGGAGGGGGGGAGGGGGGAGGGACAAGCTAGGTGCGCGCGCGTCATATCTGACGTCCTACCCCTCCCTCCCATCCCTTACCATGGCGCTGATTTTCTCTATCCGCGGGGTGGGGGTGGTGGTGGTGGTGGTGGTGGTGGTGGTGGTGGTGGTGGTGGTGGTGGTGGTGGTGGTGGTGGTGGTGGTGGTGGTGGTGGTGGTGGTGTGGTGTGTGCGTGTGTGCGCGTGTGCTGTGGCATGGCACGGGAAATGACGCCAGCGCTGCAGCGGGAGCACGAGTCGAAACGGGCGGAAGCGCGGAAATGAGGCCAGCGCTGCAGCGGGAGCACGATTCGGAACGAGCGGAAGCACGGAAATGAGGCCAGCGCTGCAGCGGGAGCACGATTCGGAACGAGCGGGGCCCGAAAATGAGGCCGGCGCCTCGGCGAGAGCAGCATTTTGAAAAAAAACACAAGCGAAAACCCGTTTCCCGGGAATCCTGTGTGTAAAAAACACTACGCGGGGGGGGGGTCGGATATCTTCGGGACGCCATCAGGGGAAGTGGGAGAGTATTTTCATATTGTGTAATTGTGGAGGGGGAGGAGGAGGAGGAGGAGGAGGAGGAGGAGGAGGAGGGGAGGGAGGGAGGGAGGGAGAGAGGGAGGGAAGGAGGGGGGGAGGGGGGGGGAGGGAGAGAGGGAAGGAGGGAGGAGGGGGGGAAAGGAGGGAGTGAGGGAGGGAGGGATGGAGGGGGGAGGGAGGGAGGGGGGAGGGAGGGGGGGAGGGAGGGAGGGATGGGAGGGAGGGAGGGAGGGAGGGAGGAGAGGGAGGGAGGAGGAGGAGGAGGAGGAGGAGGAGGAGGAGGAGGAGGAGGGAGGAGGAGGAGGAGGAGGAGGAGGAGGAGGAGGAGGAGGACGCGGGGACGCGTTGCGCGACGATGTCGCTCCAGCGCCCGCGACCGCGGGGGGCGGCCCCCCCCCGCGGTCCGCGGGCCAAGGCCGCGCCAGGCCTCGTCCAGCGAGATGAGGACGAAGCCGCGGTCGACGGCCCAGTGCGAACGGCCGCGCCACTGACAGGTCGGGGGCCACGTCGACTCTCTGGGCACGCCCTCTTGGGGAGGGCAGGATCAAGGTCGGCACAGGCCGACTACCCAGAGAGCCCGTCACCCGACTTGTCGCAGCGGGCCTCGTACACGCACGTGTACACCCAGTCGATGTGGTTGTCGGGCCTCATCATGTTCACTATGTCCACGGGGTCGTGCACGCCCCGCATCATGGTATAGAAGAGGCCATACATCTCGATCTCCCCCGTGCGGTGGGTTAGTTACATTCCGAATCCCACCGCACGGGGTTGTCACCAGCTCGCACTTCGTGTGGCACAGGTGGTACCCGTAGTGCTCGAAGCGCTGGCTGGTCATGCCTTGAGCTGCGAACTACGCCAAACTCCAGCGAGTCATACAGCAAAACTGCGACTGACCCCTGGGCCGGGTACCGTCTGCCTCCTGCAGGTGACCAGCGCCTTGATACCCAGGGGGAGTTGTCACCCTTGGGTCGGGTACCGTCTGCCTCATCCGAGGTGACCAGTGCCTAGACACCCAGGGGGATCGCGAACGTCCAGCGACGTGGCTAGCGAGTGCACGTCTATCCGTGCCGTCATCCACAATACCATCCCACTCCACGCCCCTGAGCAGGCGGGCCAACAGGTAGGTAGCTGAAGGCGTGGGCGGAGTCGTGTGGCAGGGCCCTTTCAGCAGCTTCCCGAGGTAGCCCCGCTGACCAGGGCTCGCTCGTCCCTCACACAGCACGCAGAACCACTTGGCATCCTTGTGGTTGAAGATCATATGGTGGGACGGGTGGGAGAACTCGCTGCCGATCACAATGCCTCTCGTCGTGCGGGTCGAGATGTTGCTGCCTGCGCAATGTCGAGAGAGCCATTGCTTGGCGATGTACTTGGGCCCCGACTTGGTAGCGGACTGTCTGCGCCGAGCGCAGTCCCAGCGCGCCAAGGTGGCCCCTTTGCTGATGTCGTGGTGGTGCTCCAACGCGATCTGGCTGAGGTTGAGTGGTGGCTCAGGATGGTGGTCATTCAGCTCGTCTGCTCGTTGCTGTCGTCTCGTGGCATGCTGGGGTAGTCTGCTTTCGAAGGCGTCACGGGTGGCCTGGCATATTCTGTCGCGAATCTTGACCGCCGTCGCCCTGATCCAGTCGTAGAGGTCAAGCTGGGCCGCGCCGGTCGCGTGCTCCGCCGCGGCTTGGTCGGCGATGTTGTTCCCAGCCCAGCCGTGCTTGGGGAAGCTCCCTTGCATAGCCTCCTCCAGCGTCAGGTGGCTCTCAATGTTGAACAAGCGGATCGTGCCACGCCTGTTGATGAGTGCTTTGTGGATGAGCTGCCATATGTCTGCGTTGGGGCCCTGGTTGAAGGGCCCCTGGACCCGAAGGTTGCGCCAGCCCGCTACTAGTGCCGCAGAGTCGGTCCAGAAGTGGAGGTCGTCGTTGGTGCTCTTGACGCAGTTGTAACAGGCCCACAGCTCCGCTCGGTTGTTCCTCTGCCTAGGGCCTGGTGAAAGGGCCTCGCTTGCCTGCCGCCAACTGGTATTCGCCGTCGACGCCGAGGCGTAGCCTGACCCAGGCCCAACCACATCGCATGTATCGGTCGTCCCCAGATCGTTCTCCACCGCTGCCGTCGCCATAGATCACCAGTGGTCCATCTCCCGTCGGCGTGAGCCTGCCTTGGTCGATCGCTTCGCCCAAGCAGGTCTCGATTTCTTCCGTGGTGCAGGGCTCAGGGCATGTCCATGGTGTGGGGGTGAGCCCCCGTAGCCAGAAGCAGGGCACTGTGTCACTCATGCTGTCGGCTCTTCGTGTGATGGCTGAGGAGTGCTCATGTGCAGAGCTGTCCTTGCGGCTGCTGCAGTCTCCCCAGATGCGGTGAAAGTCCGTCTCGTCGCGCCCGCGCTGGCAGGTGATGTGTCTGGCTCCTACGCTCGCCTTGCGTGCCTCAGTCCATGTGCCAGCGCAGGCCGCTGCTAGCAGTGCACCGTGTTCTGCATGGCGTCCTTGATGGAGGAGTGAGCGTAGGCGCCGTCGAAGGTCGGTGTTGTCGATGCCGTGCTCGCATCCTGTACCGTGGTAATGTCGTGCTGCATGCTGCCAAAGTCGTCGGCGGATGTGTCTTTCCAGTGTGTCTATCAGCTCCGTGGGGTCGCCTGCCTGCTCGTCCTCAGTGAACTCCCACGTGCTGCCGTCTGCGTCGGTCCAAGAATCCGCCCGCAGCGCGTCCCAACCGCAGAGCCACAGGGTCAAGATGAGGCTGCCGATGGCTCCCCGTCGTTGCTGCCATCTGTGTCGTGGTGGTGCGTCTAGAAGTCGGTGTCGTATAAGAGGCCACGCCTTCCGTATACCTCGCCTGAGTTCTGGGTTCCTGGCCCACATGTCGAACCGCGCTCGAACTTGGCCCGTCGGTATGCTGATGGCTGGGTCTTGGCCCTCGAGGTCGAGGAGCGTGGTGAGGCACCTCCCCGCCCAAGGGCGTCGCAAAGCTTCAGCGTACCTTTGCCGAGTGCGGAGCGTCTCCGCAAGTGAGGCTCCGAATGTCTTGTGGGCGTAGGTCGTGGAAGGCATGGGTCCTGAGTTGATGATCTGCTGCCGTTGACGTATGGGTAGTGGTCGTAGCTTCTTGCCGATGGATGTGAAGCGCTTAGCTGCCAGTCGCCGTCGTGCTTGGTGTGTTCGTCTTCGGGTGGTGGTCTTGCCTCCGCGGTCGATGCCGAGGTCACGTCCCTCCACTGCCTTCGCCATTGGGGCTCCTAGCCCGTGGAGCCTTGCAATTGCATTGTTGGTGGCCTCGGGGTGGCTCGTGAACAGGATAGACTGGTTGGCCATGACCAAGTGTTGCTTCGAGAGCTCTATGAAGATG